CCCAGAGTTTTCTTCTCTGTTCTGACCTTGTCAAGAATTCTCCTAGTGAATCTTTGTGTGCCTCTTCCTCAGGTGCTACCTTCAAGATACCGTGAACCATCCTGAAATCAGGTCAGACGGTTGGTTTTCTGACCCTGATCTTTGTGACGCTGACAAGAAACCCGAGCTACCTGTGGATTCCCCCACTTACCTGTCCGCCCTCCAACGCCGCCTCTCCAGCCTCTTCCTCCCATCAAGCCCTGGACACCCCCAGAAGCCTTTGCCCCTGGTCCGGACCCGCTCCCAACCACGTAAGGTCCACCTGACTCTGTTTCTTCTCCCTAGTCTGAAGCTTGAACTAACCATATCTGTCCTCCTGTGCTCAGATATCTGGTGTGTGCTGTTGAAGAGATCCTGGACCAAAACACTGTCACTCACCTTCCTGTTTTGTTTCTTTGCAATAAACCTCTCGCATTTAAAACCAGTGTTCTGAGTTGTGTTCTGGATGTGGGTAAGAAAATTAGAATCCAACATGACAAGCACAGCACACATCATGGTCGGACAGTGGGGACCATGATGTGTGATGATGGTGGTGAAACCACACAAAAAAACATTGCTTGTACTTGTGGAGCACTTTATCAAGAACAGAGAACTCTAAGTGCTTAACACTACATTCAGTGATATGCCCCTTCACACACACATTCACATTCTGAAGAATGTATGCATGTTTATTCAAAGTTTTTAACAAATCTGAATAATAAACTGACTGCATTGTTGAACTGGAATGTCTCTTTATAATTAAATAAAATTAATTTATTTTCAGACATTTTTCTTAAAACATGTTTTGTGAATTTAATTCAACTGAGCGTTTCCAGAGCTTACCTTTGGACATCCTAGTTTCATAGGGATTAAGGTCTGTGTTGCCGATTCGTCTACGACTCTGAAGATGGGAAGAGAACAGAATGTGGAAATAAGCGACTTCTCAAAGTGCTGTAAAATATGTTTTTAAAAAAAGGCCTGCTTTGGATTAAAATATTGTGAGCGTTATCACTGGTGGAACAAATCAGAGTCCGACTGCAGGCGGTGCTAATAACCGGGCTCTTAATACCCAAATAATAAAGCTCATGATAACATAATTTTACAATATATATGTACATGCCAACAATAGCAGAGCTTTGAAGCTTTCACACCTTTTTTTTTTAAATTCATCAAACGAACAAGAAGAATAACAAATCAAGAGAACAACAAAAACATCAGGCTACATGGTCACTAATGATGAAACAACACGAATTCAAAGTAGCTCAGCACCACGGATAATGATTGGATAATTTTGACATCCACTTTGGAGCTTGGAGCAGCTAGCAACTGCTGAAGTTAGGTTTACAGCTGATGCGTTGAACAGGATGAGTGGCAGTGCGCGGCGTCCCCGCCCCTACGTTGGCCTCGCTGACTGTCGCAGCGTATCGCGCATCTCTGGATTTTTGTATCTCTATGCAGATACCATGTGCCATCATTCACACCCAATCTGGACAATTTGGATGAAGCTGAAGTTGGTTTCCGATTCCAGCTTCCGATTTGGGAAATGGCTAAAGGGCGATTCCACCTAATTTTTCACTACCTTCCGCGTCTTTAATCGACTCTAGTTTAAAAACTACAACACCTAGACTCTTCAAACCTGCGCTGGATTATTCTACTCTAATAGCAGAATATTTATAACCGTGTTTGTGATTTGTGAAACTTCAGTGAAGAGCGACTTTACCACTTTTTTTGCATCTGGGTTGCACTACAACTGCTCCAGCTCCAAAACACCTAGACACTTTAAACCTGGACTGGAGTATTCTGTTCTAATAGCAGAATATTTAGATATTGGGATTTGTGAAACCTTTTTCTGATTTGAGAAACTTCAAAAGAGGACGATTTTACCATTTTTTAAAATCTTGGTCACATGAGATCTGCTCTAATTCCAAATCTACAACACCTAGACTCTTCAAACCTGAACTAAATTATTCTCAACTAGTAGCAGAATATTTGGAGCCATGTTTGGGATTTAAGAAACCTTTTTCTGATTTGTGAAACTTCAATAAAATGCGATTTTTACCCTTTTTTGCATCTAGCTCATATTAAAACTGCTCTAATTCCAAAACTACAACACCTAGATTATATTATTATTATTCTGCTCTACTAGCAGAATATTTTAATCCATGTTTGGGATTTGTAAAACCTTTATGTGATTTGTGAAACTTCACTAAAGTTTAGATGACTATTCACACTTGTTCCATGCAGTTTTTTTCTAATTCAAATTCAATGCTAATTCAAAACCACTTTATTAATCCCAATGGGAAATTAAATGTTGGTGTAACTCATTAATTCTTCAAAGAGTTTTTGTAGACGGTGATGGCTGTTGGAAAGAAAGACCATCTGCAGCGTTCTGTTAAGTGAAGTAAAGTTTCAGAAATCAGAAAAAAGTTTTACGAATCCCAAACATGGTTTTAAATATTCTGCTACAAGTTGAAAATAATCTGGTCCAGGTTTGAAGTGTCTAGGTGTTGTAGATTTGGAATTAGAGCAGATCTCATGTGACCGAGACCAAAAAAAAGGAATAAAAATTGCCTTTATTGCAGTTTCACAATCAGAAAAAGGTTTCAGAAATCCCAAACATGGTTATAAATATTCTGCTATTAGAGAAGAATAATCCAGCTCAGGTTTGAAGAGTCTAGGTGTTGTAGTTTTTGAACTAGAGTCAATTAAAGATGCAGAAGGTAGTGAAAAATTAGGTGGAATCGCCCTTTAGCCATTTCCCAAATCAGAAGCTGGATCACTGAACCAACTTCAGCTTCGTACAATTTGGAAGGTGCTCTTTCAGGATGCTCCAACGTACGCCTAGACACCGTACCGCTCTCTTGGCTCGCGTGTGTTCAATGCGGATTTTCAAAAGCGTGTCAGTCCCTGACATTACTGCTGTATCACCAAGAGAGAAAAAAGGGGATACAAGCTCGGCGGCAGGGCCACTACAACTTTCAATCATTAACAGTCTATATCTAACTCACATATTATGAATAATAATTAGTATTGCTATCTGTAAATAGCCCGGCTCTCTGGCTGTGCTGGCAGGCCTGAATTGCTACGAACAAAAAAGTCCAGCTCATCTACTGAGATGAACAAAATGTGCGTCTAGCTTTTGTAACTTGGTTTCTATTTTTTCCTTTCTTTGTGCTTATATTGAAGTGCCGCTCACTTCAATATAAACACATCCATGCTGTGGTGGCGCAGGGGTTAAGCACAGTGCACATATGGAGGCCTGAGTCCTCAACATGGCCATTGCAGGTTTGATTCCTGGCCTGGTGACCTTTGCTGCATGTCTTCCCCTTCTCTCATTACCCACTTTCCTGTCAACTAACTATCAAATAAAGGTCACTAGAACCAATAAAACCTTTTAAAAAAAAAAAGCTCCATCTAGTCTGCAATCTGTTGCCAAGTGACTGATGATGACATTGTTGGACGGTTGATGACAAGAAATGCACCTGGAACCGCTTGTGAATTTCTTTATCATAAAATTAAATGTAAGAGTGGGTTGGAG